CATACTTCATCGCAAGTAATTCCTTGTCGTGGACTGGGTAGTTCCTCTCCGCAGCCTTAAGCTGTCAAGATTCGAACGCGATCACTTGATCTTCCCCTCGGCGTCTCACAGCCGATAGTAAAGTCCAAAGCGTTACAGAGGACACTCAAATTACGATCGGGGTCTGGCAATGCCATAATTGTTGGAATGAGGAGACTGTCATTGACCCTGTAAAAAGCCCCCGATGCTCGGTGTCCTCACACCATTCTGCATCCTTCCTAAGAAGATTTGACAATGGTCGTGCCATTTCCGCATAAGTTGGCGAGGCCAAGCCACCCTTTTTGTTCTATGGTATCGGCCAGATCACAGTGGCCTTGACATCAGCGGGATCCGCTCGAAGGCCACGCTTACCAATGAAGCACCGTAAAAAGGGAATTTCTTCCGCGCCAAAGATGCACTTATCGGCATAAGTATATAGCTAATTCGTGCGTATGATGTGGTTTTCCACATCTGCCCTCCCGTGCCCCGCACGACTGTGGAGGAAGATGTCGTCGAAGTATGTCCGTGCATACGCTGATGGAGCCTAAATAACTACGTCACAAGGCGATTAAATGTTGCTGGTGTATTTGACAGCCCTTGGGGCATCACCAGCAACTCCTGGAGCATCCCGCTCGGAGTACTCATCCCTGTCAGCGGAATATCACTCGCCCTCATGAGTAATTGGTAATGACCATTGACAAAGTGCGCTCTGCTTTGTACAGCCAACCATATTGTTCTGCAGAACATCCTTTCAAGGAATCGGCGTCTGTGTCGGAATGGTGGAATCGTTTAGCTTACTATAAGCGTGAACAATTCGCGAGTTGCCGTCTGTCTTCCGGACACAAATATTGGGTGTCGAATGATGAGACTTGCTCTTTGCACCATTCCCGGCTTGTACTTCGTACGGAAAAGTCTTCAATGACGTGGCACTGCTCTGTGGACAAGGACCATTGGCGTGTTACGCAGAACTTGGTTCCCGTAATCAAGTCAATCTCATGACGCACACCTCAGTCCGGAGGTAGGACCAACGGCGGGTCACTGGAGACAACGTCATAAATCTTCTTTACCAAAAAATACTACGGATCCGAGAAATCCGTCAGGATTGTTGACCCATTTCATGCGTTCAACACATCTAATTTCCCTCCAGTATAGCTTTATCTAGAACCGACGACGACTTAATCTCCTCGTTCGGGCTTACAATGACCATCTCGGCTAAATTGCCTTCCTTTTAGGCACCGTTAAAATCGTCGAAGGACATCTTGTCCAGCTGAAGGAGAGCATCCACCGCGGGAATAGCCTCGAGGGTGACGTCGCCGTCTTCCTCTCCCGTCATCCGCGTATATAGCTGTACGCTATCGTTTACGGTAGACACACCCCGTGTCAGAGTCGACGCCCTTCGTCTTGCAATGTCATCGAGACCAGTGGGAACACGCACTTGGGATCGACCAGTGTCCCCACTCCTGGCTCCATCAGAGCCTTGATGTTATTAACAACATCCGACGAAGAGCTGCTTTTTCCGCAGTCTTCCTCTAATGGATAACGTACCACTCCACGCGCATCAGAAAGACCTTGCCCGGATGCCTCGGACCTCGTCCGACCATGCCTCTCTTTGTATGCAGCAACTGCTTTGGATCGTGAATAGTCCTAAGTGGATTACGTTCCACTCCACGCGCACGACAAGGGCCTCGCCCTAGATGCCTCGGTTCTTGGCCGACCATGCCACTCTTTGCATGCAGCGGCTGCTCCAATAATTGAGCAGCGCTTACGTAGTTACGTGCCACTCCACGTTCAGCCCGCAAGTCATGCCCGGGACTCTTGTACAATACACGTTCGGTGTTTGACAACTCGGATACTCCGATATCCAGTACATTGACCGTCCTGGTCCAGTGCCCCCGCCAATAGCGCTTCTGCTTCCTGGCAGAGGTGTCTTCCTGACTCACCAAAGCTCCATCAGGAGACGTGCGCGTAGCGCCCAAGGTCTTCAACCTCCAAGCAATCCACGGCTTCTGGTATTCCAACCATGCCATACCAAGGATAAGATCATACCTTACATCCGAGTCTAAGACTAGGCAGTGTTCCACGCTATCAAGATCCAGAAACTTGACACCGAGGTTCACAGGGACCCTCAACACAGTGACGATGTCACTCAAACGCGCTTCCAGCGCCTCAGCAGACAGCTGACTTCCTTCGATCGTGGAGCGTCGAGCGTCGCACCAGAATCGATAAGGATTTCACATGGATTCTCGAAGACCTTCACGGTCGCTTTAAGGACCAGCAAACCCGGCTTGTATACACGTTTCATGTTCAAGAGCATGGAGCTCTTTGGGGCTGATCCCTGCTGCCCTCTACATCTTTAAGGCTCAACTGAACTCAGTTTTCCCCCAGTAGAGTGCAGCGCGCCTACTGGCTGGTCTCGTTTCCCCGCGACAAACCGGACTGGTTAGAAGCGGGACGTCGATTTGACATACCTTGACGCGCCTTGCACAAGGGATAACCCATACGATGGTAACGGCTGTCTCCACAAACAAACACCGTCGGGTGTTTACACGCTGGTCGGCAGCTTGGAGCTCCCACCTCTTTCTCAGTCTAGCAGAAATCTATTGGCACAGGCCCGCTCAACGAGCTCTGAGTGTAACGGGGTTACACGTATCCTGGTAACAGGGGTGTGTCACACAAGATGTCAATGGTGTAACCACACCCAAATAAGAATACGGTTCGGGGCTAGTAGCCAGTAGTTATGCATGTTTTAAGATTTTACTATATATTTTTTCTATCTTTAGGAAAATCTAAACTTTTAAAACCAGGATGATAAATAAGCTTTGGATTTTAAACGGAAGAGCTGAAGCCTTGGGTAAGGCAGTAATTACTCTTGGAGTAAGCGGATTGCGAACCGCTAACTCGTCGTACTTGTTCTAAGTATAGAACGAAAGGTCGGTGACCTAAATTATGCTTCCTCAAGGGCTAAGCTACGGCAGCCCCGCTGCACTTGGTAGCACTTGTAGTCAATCTACACCTGAGTCGTTTAGACTGATCCTCTGTGAGGATGGTGGAATTTTCCGCTTTGCCCAGGGCATGCAGGATGGGATTAACAAACTGAGGTCCTTGCTTGGACCTGAGGGCGTGCAACACCTTGTAGCCCAAAATCCGAGGTAATCGGTGCGCGTCCAGAGGCGTTTTCAAGTTACAAAAACGCCCTGCTAGAGCACCTGCAGCAGAAAATGTCTGCATCATTTGCGTCTATGACGCCATCGTCGGTGATAGATGATTTTCCCCGCCTTAAGCCGCTCATGATGAGCGTTAGGGTTTTTGAGGGGAAGGATGGAGAAAATCTTCTGCTCTGGGTGAGAGAGGTCAAGATGGCCATCGCATCT